AATTAGCAATTAGCACTATACCCGAATTCAATGGCAATTCAGATGACCTTTATAGATTTTTAAGTACTGTAGACTCAATTTTAGATGATGTAGATTTTAAGACATACAAATTTATATCAAAAATTGTTATTTGTAAATTAAGTGGAACAGCTTTTGATTGCATTAGACGGGCTGATTATCAGTTATGGAATAATATCAAACCTATTCTAATTAAACGTTTTAAAGATAGAAGGTCCATCGCTGAGTTACATCACGAGCTAGCAACAACAACAAGAGAAAATGGGGAATCGATTGAGAAGTTTGCAGAGAAACTTGAGAGTTTGCTTACGTTAATAAACAACGAATGCTATTTTACACAAAATGAAATAGCGTATCCATCATATTGTGACTTGGCTTTGGCAGTTTTTGTTAAAGGCCTACCATTGGACTTGAAAATTATAGTTAAAGCAGCCAAACCGGAAAATTTGAAGGGTGCTATGCACATCGCTGCAAAGGAAGAAAAATATTTAAACATCAGATCTAATAAAAAATACAACCCATTCGTCACTTGCAGATACTGCAAGAAAAGGGGACACCACATTAACCAATGTCGAAAACTTACAAATAGGAAAAGAGATGACAAACTTAGAATCTACAATGGTGGAAATGACGATAGAATGGACTACGAAAGTAATAAAGATCTGAAATATATAAAAACATATGATGATACATACAAGGCATTCATAACAACTAAAGAAGAGTCCGAAGAGTCCGGAGAATCCGAAGAATTCGAAGAACAAGAAGAATACAAAACAGAAAGTTTGACTCACAACACCAAAATAGAAGAGTTGACGACAATCGCTGCAAATTCATACGAAGAAGAAAAGGATCTATATGTGGCCAAAGATATGGAACAAACCATACGAACAAATTCATACGAAGAAGAAAAGGATCTATATGAGGCAGAAGATATGGAACAAACCATACGAACAAATTCATACAAAGAAGAAAAGGATCTGAACATATATGTGGCACAAGATATGGAACAAACCCAAGATGAGGTTTACGACATGAAAGAAATTAATGATAAACAAGAAGAAATAAGAATACTTAATGATGAAGGACCAGAATATATGAAAACTATTCCCATTAAAATAAAGAAGAAAAAGAAAAAGAAAAGAAATATTAAAAGAAGAAAAATTAATGATGAAATTATAGAAGAAAATAATCAAGAAACCAGGGAATATCAAGTTAATATGATAAGAAAATTACCTTCACAACGAAAATTGTCAATAAATGAAAATATAGCCACTATTACAGATATGTTCAACCGGAAGAATATGAATTTGAACACAAAGGAGAAATATGCACATTTACAAAACCATAGCAGCAGAAAATTAATATCGTCGCAAACACATGTAAAGAAGAGAAAGATTCCCGATTTTATTATATTCAGAACAGCACCAAAATTGTTTAATTATAAATACCGGAAGAAAATAAAAACTCACCAGGTGTAAACACAGTAATAACACGCAAGTCATTTGTTTGGTTGACATAAGCGAATTCTCATATTTCAAAGCAACATTTGTTCAATTTTGATTACCCAGCAAATTTCGAATATATCAAGTATTAACAATACAAAGTAAATTTAAATTTTCATTAATTACTATTTATGATTTAAATTATCAAATGCAAGGTTCTTTACGTCATTAATATTTTTTTTTTTTTTTGCAGATTTTAAAGACATTTTTCATAGTATGATTTTTATGCTCTATTGATATAAAAGTTTTTGAAAATAAAAAATTATTTGCATCATTTATGGTAAGTTGTTCGAAGCATATTTTGTTTTACCGGAATAACATTTTAAATTTCAGTGATGCCTTTACATAATCAGCGACCATCTAATTTGCATTCAACTGCTGATTTTTTTTTATATATGTATGTTATTAAAGATTTATTCATGTAGAGATAAAAATAAAATTATTATTAGATTTTTTTTCTCAGAGCACATTATTTGTAAACATATTCTAACAGTAATGACACTTTTGAGGACAAAAGTTTTTAAGGGCCGAAGGAAGAAGAGATGGAACTCATTTTTTTTTAATTTTTTCTTAATTTTTATAGTTTTCCGAGGACGAAAAACTTTTGAAGAGGGAGGTTGAACTGTAATAACAATTCGAATCACTATTTTGTTTAATAATTACAAAACGCGTTGCTAGTTATATGTAGGTTACGCGGACATCGGAAGTGCTTACTGTTGGATTTTGTAAATAGGTTGTAAACAATAAATTAGTATATAAGAGTTAGACAAAAGTTAGACAGGCAGTCAAACTTGGAGTAAGACTCGGAGTCAAGCTCAGAGTCAAACCTGGAGAGAAGCTTGGAGTCAAGCTTGGAGCCAGACATAGTATTCAGTAAAATGTAGTCTTTGCCGATATGATAACCAAAAGGTTATCAACAAATATTAATTGTAAAAATAGTGAATAATAAAGTATCATTCAAAGAAAGAAGTGTGTTTACAAATTACTATCAAATCGCTGTTCGTCCTAAAGGCCCTTCACACTACCAGTGGACTCTGGAGAGTCCACATTCACAAATATAATATTTCAACAACTATTCAACTGTTCACCGCTCGGGTCCAGCCTACCATTACAATTCCTGGTCGTACTGGTGATCCACAACATACCTCCCAATATATCAACCACCAGCCAGGACAATTCAATATGTTGATAGCAAACATGGCCGTTTTGACTTTAATTGCTTCAGCGTATCATAGAGGTCGCCATCAACTATAGCACGTAAATTTACCCTTATTAATACCTAAGTTTAATTCTAGATAAGATGTTATATAAATATATATTATCCTTTGTGATTATTAAATGTGTAAATGAAAATAAAAATCGAATACTCACTTTAAAGTATTTCCAAGCAAATTTCCAAAAAAGTCGTTCAGTTTTTGAACACATTTTCCAAAATCAGCCCTTGACCACTCGTTACAAATTTGATACAAAACATGTGAAATATAAATAATAAAACTAATTTAACTGTCATCTCATTTTATTTTTTAATTTTAATAAGTCTTCATATTTTCGGGTGCTTTTCAAAGTTCTAACGTATGAAATGAATAAATAATAGACTTTTGTCTTTATTTCACGTTTGCAAATAAAAGAGTGGTTAGTGGTGATTAAATCGAAAATAAATATAATTATTTGCAGTTTCGTTTTGCTTGATATATTTATATCAACAAGGAACAATTTCGTATCAATTACAAGATGGTGATTAATAATGAGGGAATATTTTTTGCTTTTATACGATACTATTATCAATATAATTGCGACGTGACACGAGTTCATTAATAATTCTTCAACTAATCTATATTAAGTTAACCAGAATATATATATATATATATATATATATATATCTTATATATAAAATTCTTCTGTAATAATGTATGGAAGGATACTCCGCCTAAACGATTATGATTTTGATAAATTTTTCTCAAGTTTGTTAAAGGAATTTTTTAGGATGTTGTGATTATAGAAAAAATTACAAAAAAACGCTTATCATTGTTTGCCCTTGAAAATATTTAAAGCTTAGTTTGACATTAAAAACAAATGAAGACTGTCATTTGCCAAACATTTCTATTCACTTATAGGCTAAGGCAATATTAAAATATAATAAATTCATGATTATAAATAAGGAAAATGTAATGTCTACATTATTATTGCCAAAAAGCAGCTGAGATGTGCCAAAAATTAAAATAATATAAGATTTACTGTCAACATGCGTCTAACAGGTGATGAAGTCTGCGCATGCGTCTGTCAGTGATTGCACATCAAACTTAGTCTATAATTTAATTTGACACATTATTATTTTTTAACTTTTAAATGCAGTCGTGTTTTGCCTTACTTTACTAAATCACAATATAAAAATAATTTACTTATTCAAAAAATTATTTAGATGTACCATTGTGTCAAAAATTAATATGTTTGGCATTGGATACGAAATATTTTATTTACTCAAGTCAATGGAGCGTTTTTGTTCTGATTTTTTTACTGTGCTTCAATTTGTATGAAATTCTGGAATTAGGTTCATCTTACTCTCAAGCTCAAAATTTAGACTTCGTTGCCACTTCCCGGGGGGATGACATCCTTTCTCAGATTGTAGTTTTACTTTCTTACAAAATAATGTCGGATATCGATAAAAGAACTAATTATAAGAGAAAAATGTTTAATAATGTTTTTTAAAAAAGCAAATACTTTTCAAGTTACTGGTTACTAAAAATTCGTTTTTTTTGGAGTTTTTCATCATTTTTTTTACAAAGATCTCCAAAAATATACATTTTAAGGAAAATCATGTAATGAACAAAATTATATCAATTAAAATCTTATTAAGTCTGTGTTTTATAATGGAACAATATTGATAGATATGAAAAAGCAAAGTCTTTTTTTTATTTCTATGGGGTTTTGTGGTGCTCGAAATAAGTCTTAAAATGAGTACTGTCAAGGGTCTTATTTAAATCAAATAGGTTTATGAGCGCCATTTCCACCAAAATTACAATTAATCGTATTTCATCTAGAATTAACTTAGTTCAGTAGATTCTAAATATCACGCAAATTGGAGCACAGTAAAAAAGTTCACAGGTAACATCTTTTTTCCTCTCCATTTACTGTATTAATTTCGTTGATCATATGTAGAATAGTGCACATATGAACAGGAATTAATTCACTTAGAATATGAACTTAAGTAATAATATATGGTAAGTAAAATGTAAATCGAATTATTATTTAAAAAATGTAATTCAGATATTATTATTACTGAAAACAATTAATATATAGTACGGGATTATAAAAAAATATGGGCTACATTATTATTAATTCTTTCTGAATATACTGTTTAATAAAGTGCAATTTTCAACACGTATATCTTATGCTGCAAATCACAAAGGCAGACGATGAATTTTTGTGTGATAAATTTGGAAAGTCAATGTTTCAGTCATGAATAAACAATAAATGATTTACTTAGACATCTACAAGTACAAAAATAAAAAAATTGGTAAATATATTTATTTTTTTACTTATAATTATATACATATATACAAATATAAAATAAGTTATTATTTATTATTATATTACTTTTCTATATTTTTATTTTGGAGTTCATATGAAAAATAATAATATTTATATTTATTCCTTTGGATGCGTATTGGATTTAAATTTTGTACAGGCGTAGAACTCCTTGACTGTTTTCTCCTTCTTGTCAAATAAAAAATGCTTATTTCTAAACAAAAAACAGCGCAACTAACCAGACAACAAACTAAATAATACCAAAAAATAAAAAATAGTTCCGTCATAGTATAAATACCAGATACACCATGATCTTTTGCATCTTCTTCATTTTTCCGCATCGCATAATCTAGAACATCATTGGACCACTTTGGCATCAAACCGAATTCCTTGATTCTCATATAAATCTCATCGAAACTTGGTTTATAAGGCGATGAATTAGGGACCAAATTGGAGCTGTATCTATTAGGGGGGCCACTATTCAAGACATTCAAATCTTCCTTGTGCACTGAATGCATTTTGAAAACATGCGCTAAAACTAAAGTTGTGAACAAAACTGCATCTTTTGATTCAGCAATACGTTCCAGAGCTTCTTCAGTAGTATTTACCACAATTTGTCTTTTGTACAAATCTTTGTAATAATCAGGAGCTGCATCAGACTCCGCCATGTCCTTAATGATGTCTTTAAACCTGTGGTGAACTAGAATTTTCATGTCGTTGTCTTTTAAATTGCGCATCCTTTGCAAATTCATGGAGACTCTGCCACCGGTCAGATGCTCCACCATGGTGGCAGCGTAGATGAAACCGTTTATCATCGAAAGCAAGGCCCATGTTATGAACAAAAATCGCGCATAACCAGGTTTGATTACAGGTTGAGAAACATTCATGGAGTTGCCGAATGTTAACAAGAATATCTCGATGAAACTGTACTGCCTCTGGATACCAGGTGCTCGTAGAAAAACCAAGAGCTTTTGAATGTATAACCATGTGCACAAAACCAGGACATACACACCACTCCACAACATATAAAACTTGATGCTGTAAATGCTGAAGAAGGTGACGACAAATCTTGGTGGATTATTTGGAGTTATAAACGCAAAATTAATATCTTCTATAGGCGTTACAAATTCAGAATTCTTTTGTCCCAAATCCAAAATCGGACACATGTTACCCACAATATCAGTTTGACCTTTTTCCACATCAGCAAGACAACCTGTCATCGTACCATTTTTATAAATTTTACCAACATCTTTGTCGTCTGCAGGATGGTGGTAAATAGGATAAAAGTTCATGGTTTTTGCTAAATTTTGCATCATACTTCCATCTCGTCCCCAATATCTGTAAAAAGTACCATTTGGATGATAAATAGGAGTTGCTGTGCCATTAGATTCCACCATACAGATTCTTAAAGGATAATGTTTGACATCTTTTAAACGTCTATTCATCATTTTAACAATTTCTTGCACCAAACTGTCGTTGTCCTCCATTCTGAACTCGTGCACAAGTCCTCGTTCTGTGCCATCGTTAATTAGGACAAAGGGATCATAAAAGGATAACGTGAAGGACTCATTCATGCCAATGTTATACTCATTCGACAGTTTGTCGAAATTATAGAAAATTGCGACGTTTAGCATGTTGTATTTGTGCCAGCACAACTTCAAAATGCTTTCGACTTGTTTAGGATCAGTGTCTGTCAATATCATCAAGAATTTACTTGTCTGATCAATTTCGGCGATGAGTTTTATGCGGATTTCTGTATATGATGCCATTTCTGTTGCGAAAATCATTCCTTCGATTGTGCGGTTTTTAAATATTCCTTCGTTGTAGTATTCTATTGTCTCGTTCCTAAAATGGGGAAAGAAAGATTATATCATCAATATAAATATAAACAAATAATTTTATTACAAGTGCCTTGTCAATAGGATCTTCTTTAGTTTAGAGATTTAGTTTCCTCATCAGTACAATCCTTCTATAATGCTATACAATATGTGAGTAGATCCTGTTTAGCCTTAGTCATGTCGAGATTTAGGCACCGATTCTGCCACATGACACAGACCAATGTTATGGCAAGGCCATGTTATGCTCCAACTTCCATGCATTATACTGCTGAATCGTACTGAATACTGTCAAAATGTCATGTATTTGCTGTGTATACAGGCGTTTTACGCATAAACTGCAACGTCACTCGTATGTTGTGAAACTGGGTCAGAAAGACCCTGTTATCTAAGATCGTTTTTTTGACATTTGTGGGTTTCTAGGATATGTTTTCTATCTGACAACCTGAGAAAATCGCTCACACACTGCACAGCAACCACATGGCTTTTGTCAATATTTAGTAGGGAAAGTTCTTCATAACCTAGCCTTGCCATTGGATTGGTCTGTTATGCGGCAGAATCGGTCCCTTAGGTTGCTCGTTGGTAAATTCATTTGGATTACCATATGGTCATGAAATCTTTAAACATTGTTTTGTGCAGATGGTATAATTCTTACATGCAATATAATGACAACATTATTTTTACTAGGGTTTATACAAACACCGACATTTTAGAAAACCGGTTTTTGAATTTTATATAAAAAAATAAATTTTTGCTCGAATATTTGGTAATTTTATCCGCAAATTTAGTGTAATTTAGTATTTGACTGAATTTATTTATTGTTCAATTTTATAGATAGTAAACAAAATTATTTTAATTTTAATTAGTAGAACTAAAAAATAATAGTTTATCTTGATTAAATAACTTTGAAAATAATTATTCGTTATTGATGCATCATTTTCACATATAAGAATGAAAATATTTTTATGATAGTGAAAAGAAAGTTTTCGAATAAATAAAATTAAAACGTTTTCAAATAAAATAAAAAAAATAGATACATGTTGATACATACTTGTTAATATCAATTTTAGTTTTAAAAACAATTAAGCTAAACTCGGGTGTTGCCTGTTCCGAGCAATTTTAATTAATTAATTTTCAACATTCTAATTGTTTTTTCGTTTAATGAAATATGATTTAAAAAAAACTTAGAACGTCTATCGAATTGCTACTTAGACGTGTTCTTTGTTTACTCATAAAATTTCCTGAAATAGAAAATACTCTCATACTTGCGACCAAATTATACTTAATTGTTTTTAAAGCCTGATATAATAATTCTAAGTTTTTTCTTCTTTTATTTGTGGCTTTTACGTTTTAAAACTCTTCTTTTTTAGTTTGAGTAGAGGAAGTTACTTCTTCAAGAAGAAGTCACACTGATTTAAATTAAAATATACCCTAGTATAAAAAATCTAAATTAATATATACAAAACCTTTCTGTGGACCATTGCAAACTGATAAGATATCAAATGCTATTGAACCGATATGATTTCAAGAATCAAAACGCTTTCATCTATCTTTTATAAGGCTTTATTTGTCATTTTTCACATACACAGTGAAAACCGACTTTTTTCAGTAAAAACCCGGTTTTCGAATTCCATAATTTTTGCCAAAAACCGGTTTTTGAAACCGGTTTTTGAAAACCGACAAACCCTAGTTTTTACCAATTGCTTGTGTTAGATCAAACAGGAATTGGAAAACCATCAGGAAACGAAAATACATCATCTGCATCACATTGTCGCAGTTAAAAGATTTTTACGTAATTTTCAAAGATAAAACACCATTATCAAAAAGGAAAGATAGTTATAAAATTAATTGTTCGGATTGTGATTGTTCTTATATTGGACATACTTGACTTTTACACTGATGACAATAAAATAATAACCTCGAAACGATTTAATAAAATTGTAGGAATTCATACTGGTTTACCATTCTTTTTTTAAATATTTGACAGGAAGAACAATGGTGTCCAAACTGCACTTGTAAATGTCTTCGCTGAATGACAAGGATTTGTCATTTGTCGACAAAACTGATACGACATTTTTATCCTGCAAAGAAAAAAAATTATTAACAATAAAAATCTACACTTACAGTATAAAAAATTATAATTATTTGCTTACTTGAAAATACTTCCAAGCGATCTTCCAGAACACACGTTCAGTACCCGAACATAAATCAACATCATCATAAACGCCATCTAACATCAGCGATGTGTCACTAATTACAAAACTAACAAAACCGGAAATTAAAAAGAATATTTTAACAATTTTCATTTGTGTTTCCACTTTCTAATGCCAAAATCACTCACGAAAATAAATAAATCTGTCATTATATCGAGAACGAGATTAAAATTAGTGTGCTTGGGTAATTATATATCGATAATTACACACCACTCGTGATTCGATCTAATAGTAGTAGTTGTCGATAAATAATTTTTGCTTTAGGTTATCTAGATATTATTGTTTGTTCTCGTGTTGAGGGAAATTAGTCAAGGTCGCACGCACTTTTAACGATTTAGGGCGTAGAATTGAGTGCCAAGCCGAAACTGAAGACTGGATTGGTGTAACCATGGTCATGATTGTAACCATCATGAGAAAGAAGAAAAAAGTTGTTTGATGAAGTTTGAAAATTATGTGTATTATATAAAACCTAGAGCTTTCTTCAAACTGTAACATTTTTTGGCTTCTCGTTTGTTCATTTAAGGTAAACTTTGAAATCATTACCCTATCAAAAATGGATTATCAAAAAGAAAAACAAAATGAAAAATAGAAATTAGTACTTATTATTAAACCTAAAACAAGTCGTTGGGGTTCTTTTTCAGTCTTCTGAACTGGATTGGTTCTAGCAGCTTTCTTGCACGGTTATTTGGGTGGTAGGTGAACCTGTTACGATACTTTATACAAAGTCTAGGTATCTCGTCTCTAATGAAAGAGACACCCAGTTCATCATAGAGTAACCAGTTGGGGTGTATTTAGGTGCGTTGGCAATTTGCCTAAGCATTTTATTTTGGAACCTCTGTAAGATCACTATATTTGAATGGCTGGCCGTGCCCCAGAGCTGAATTCCATAGGTCCAAATTGGTTTAAGTATTGATTTTGTATATCAAAAATTTATTAGTCAAAAAAATAATGGCCCAAGTTTCCTAAAATTGAGCCATTTCAGTGCACACACCGACTAACTTAAAAAATCAACTATTAGTAAAGCCCGACACATACAACGCCAGTATTTCTTGTAACATTTCTGTCAAGTTTTTATCGTAAGCTAAGCGTGTACAAAGAAGCAATTTTATTGGAAAACTAGATGACCCGACAGACGTCGTCCTGTACCCATGTCTACAATTTTTTAATATAATATACTAATATTTACCGTTTACCTAAAAATAATATTTTTTTTAATTACTCTTCGCATGCATATACATTTATAATAAGAGCGATGTTAAATGTAGAACTGCTTTCAATAAAATAATGAGTCTCAATTCCCGCACTATATTGGAAATTGAAGTCTTCTAAACGGTATAACCATACCCATAACATAACACTTGTACTTCATATTGGATTAAATTAATTTGATTTTTTAATATTTATGATATCCAAAATTGCATCTTAAACTTCTCCTAATCGATATCATAAGGGCCGAATTGTTGTATGTATTCATCTTTACTTTCCCATTTGTTGTTATCAAGTGAAATTTTTACGAATTTTAAAAATATTGTGAAAAGATTACTAAAAGATGCAAAGAAATTATATATTGAAACAAAAACTATATTGAAAATTTAATATCCGAATCTTGTGTTGGCGCCCCCTAAAGCGTGCGCTCGTATTTTTCGCATGCATCGCATTAAAGGCAGGACCGGCCCTGATTAATACTTAATTTCATATTTTAAGTGAATTAAAATTTAAATTAATTTATCATATCCTGTTCATATGTATATCAATCAATCTGCTATACATATACTGTATCTTATCTTATTTTAATTTCTGGCACATCTCGGCTGTTTTTTGGCAATAAAGATGCAGACATTTCATTTTTCTTATTCATAATCATAAATTTATTATACATATTCTAATATTGTCTAGGTTCATAAATAAATTGAAATTTTTGGCAGATGATAGTTTTCATTTGTTTTCAATGCAAACAAATGACATGTCGTTTTTTGCAATTTTTTCCATTTATTTCTACAATATTGCACATATATCCCAGTACTTTATAATCACATAAATCCTAGAAAATTTTCTTGAAAAACTTTAGAAAGATTTATCAGAATCCGAATAATCGTTTAGAAGGAGTATACAGTGAGTGCTTGTAATTTAAATGAACTTTACATAATAGCAATAAAGCTGAAATTGATTTTAGGTAGAAAACGTTTGTATGAGGAAAAAAAGGGCTGTTTTTAGGGTTTTTCCGGCAATTATTCGATTTTTTCTCACCGTAAGAATCATCCTTGGTATCCAACGAACATTTTAATAAAAGAATTGGCCAAGTTGGTCCAGGCGTTGTTGAGTTATGCGTTTACCAACACATTGTGCAATTTATTTTTATATATAAGATAAATATAAAACATATATTTATTAGGATAAATCCATGTTATTATGTTATCATACTCATAAGAATTACATAAAATATAATAATGAAAAAAATAATATAATGTTAAAATCATTTTTTACGTTACAAGAAATTCTGGCTTGTAATTGTAAATATGTTACAAGAAATTCTGGCTTGCGATTTGTATTATAAATGATTGATATAATTCATGATATTTTTTATATATTATTCACCTGTCTACTTGTTTACCTCTCTGCCTGTCCGCCTATCTACCTATTTTTCTATCATTATCTTTTGCGTATATCTGTTTACCATCTACCTATTCAAATGTCTAACTGTCTTTCTACTTATTCACCAGCATACTTGCCTTTTAGTTTATTAGTCTACCAGTCTATCTGACTGACTTTTTTTCTTCTTTTTTATCTGATAACCTTTATACCTGTCTAGCTACCTATCTTGTATAACAAGTCTATCTGCCTACCAGTTATAACTGCCAACCTGCTTATTAACTTCTCGTAGGGCAAGTTATAGTATGTAATCGCAAAAAAATCGAAAATGAAAATTTTTACATATCTTTACGTTTCAAAGGTTTCTGAATATTTTGGCATACTTAAGAAAAAATGGATGTATGTGTGTGTGTGTGAGTGTATGTGTGTGTGTGCGCGCGGATACAAATTTTTGTTGAAGATTTCGCGAATACCGATCAACCGATTTGAATAGTTCAAAGAACATTCGATTCGTATTGATAAGGAGACGTGCTGATTAGATTTTGGCAAAGGCAGGTCTAGCCGTTCCGAAGATACGGGGCAAAAAGTGCCAAAAATGGTAACTCAGTTTTTAATAGAACGGAGCGTCCGATTTTAATAATTCAAAAAACATTTTACTTGTATTGACAAGATGAAGAATTGATTTTCATGAAGGCAGGTCTAGCGGTTTTGGAGATCCAATAAAAAAAGTAAAAAAATGCCATTTGGCGGTCAAAAATGATCATTAGACATATGCACATCAAATTATCAGATATTTTATAGAGATTTTAACAATAAGTATAAATTTTGTTTACAATCCTATGGGTTCCGTGCCAATGTTTATCCGTTAGACGACGACGCGGCGCTTACGCGCTTTTACATTTCATCCCTATGCAGTTAAAGCAGTACGATTGCTTTGAAAAAAAGTTTAGAATTTCCGAAATATGTTAAAATAAAAAAAATTTGTTTCACAAAAATTTAATTTTTTTGAAGTAAAATTTTTTCAAAAATGTTAATCGTTTTTAAAAAAATAATAATTTTTGGTACGGGAAGTTCCAGCTCTTTCCAGTAGTCTGTTTACTGTTTAACTTCCTATATGATAAGTTATTGTAATCGCCCAAAAACTGAAATTGAAAATTTTTATATTTCTTCACATTTTGAAGGTTTCTGAACATTTTAGCATACCTCAAAAAAATGAATGTATGTTGTCCACGTTTTTGGATCAACCGATTTGAATGGTTCGAAAAGCATTCGATTCCTATTGATAGGGAGATGTGCTGATTAGTTTTTGGCAAAGGCAGGTCCAGCCGTAACGGAGATACAGAGCAAAGTGTGCAGAAAATAGAAATCGAGTTTGTGAGAGAACGGAGAATTTAAATGATCTCAAAAACATTCAATTTTTAATCATTGGGATGAGAGGTGATTAGTTTTTGGCAAAGGCGGGTCCAGCCATTTCGAAGATACAGATCTAAATCTGCAAAATATAGCAGTTTTTGAGAGAACTAAGCGTTCGATTTGAATGATTCAAAGAACTTTCTGCTTGTTTTAATAAAATAATTGATTTTGGAGATAAAAAAATTGTTTCATTTTTTTTTTCATTTTGTTTTCAAGAAATTTTTTTTGTATATCGAAAATAATTCAGATTTTAATTGTAATTCTGACTTAAGTTCTAATATACTTGAAACAAATATTTTCAACTTTGCAAGACAATGTTACAGTATTTATAATATAATAATATAATAATCTTTTTGAAAACATTTAATATTCCTTGAACATTTCGTTACGGTACGAGAAGTTCCAGCATTTTGCCTTAAGGCACGATGCCATACACCACTAGTTTACTTTTCATGTAAACTTATATAAACATGTTCATAGATAAATAAGCATCAAGCTCTTATATTTCGTCTACAAAATACGAATAAAGAAAGTTACAGCATGTATAATAATCTATTTGAGAACATTTAATATACCTCAAATATTTTTATTACGGTACAGGAAGTTCCAGAATTTGCGTAATAAAGTAAGTTACAGCATTTTTAATAATCTATTTGAGAACATTTAATATTCCTCAAATTTTTCTTATTACGGTACAGGAAGTTCCAGCATTTTGCGTTAAGGGACAATGCCATACACCACTAGTTTTTACTTTTCATGTAACTTATATAAACGTCATCATAGATAAATAAGCCTCAAGCTCTTATATTTCGTCTACTAAATACGTATAAAGAAAGTTACAGCATTATAATAATCTATTTTTGAACATTTAATATTCCTCAAATGTCTCAAGTTCCAGAATTTGCGTTAAGGCACGATGCTTTGCACCACTAATTAACTTAACGAAGGAGAAGTTTATGTTTTCATCCGCTAATGTAATTGTATATTTTCTCGACGGTTCAAGCCATTCTGAATCGAATGAG